ATTCTTTGGAATCGGTAAATTCTCATTTTGTCTTATTAAATCCAATTTCAATAAGTTGGAATACGTTTCAATTTCATGCAAATAAACGATATGTTTATTGTAAATATAATATGCACAATTATTGGTGTAATTTTCCAACAGAGTCTAGTGCAAGAACTGAATTTTTGGCCCAGACTTAGTGCATAAGTACTTTTTGATTGAGGTTAAGTAGTCAGAAATTTTAGATCCTGACATATTTATTAGATTTATGTTTGAATCTGACGTGTAAACAGAGACCAGTTCTTAATTCCAGATTTTTGCCTTTTTTAGATTCCAAATTTCGAAATTCGTTCAATTTTTGGTTCCGTTGGCAGCAATTGTATAATTCGTGATGATTGATACGAAAAATTGCATAATATTTGTTCTTTTTTTTAATGGAACAAAGTGAGGGAGGGGATTTCCTTCCAAAAGGGTCACAACAATCAGAGGCAACTCTAGCTGCTGTCGAGGATATTTCGGTGGGGAAGTCGACGAGGCAATTGGATTTTACGGGGTTCGAGGATGGACATCATCGTTCATGGAATTGGCATCGTCGGAAGTACTCGATCAATCACAGAAATTGAGTCATCTTATCCAGCCACAGTTGCAGTAGCAGCAGCAACAACCATTGTTAGTGAAGTCGAAAAATCAGCTGCTAAAGCTTCTGCCACTACCACATATGCCATTTGTTGACAATGCAACAAGCTCCACATTCAGTTGCACCTTCCTTTCACCCTTCTGTTCAACCTTCTTTGTGAGTCTTTTCTACTTCGAATCTAAATTTGTTAAACAATTTTGATGTTTTGGAGGAATTGATTTATATACAGCTAAAACTTTGAGTCTTCCCAATGGTGGACGTAGAAATTTTTAGTTAGGAGTACAATCGAACTCTATACAAATCGAATACTTTGTTATTTATTTTTGAATGATTTATACTTGACCTGAGAAAATGCAGATTTACATTCAAAAAATATTTCTTCATTAATATTTTGTTCATCATTTTCATACTTTTGATTTCGAACAGTTAATTCAAGTGATCGAAAGGAAAAATATATAATCAATGTTCAATCAAATAAATACAATTCGTTAAATATAAGTTAAATTGGATATAATCGGTTTAGACACATTCTATGTACACAAATAGAATAGGAGAAAATGCAAATTTAGATTCTAATTAATTAAAAATTTGATTGAAAAATGAAAAATTGTAGTAGATGTGATAATTTGTAGAAAAATTATAAACAAATTTTAAAAAATTAGAAGGGTTAAAATTTTGATAAAAGGTATGAAGGAGAGAGTAAGTGAAAAGAAAAAAAATTAAATTTATCGTGATTTTACCCCTGTTTGGTAGGATTAAAATTAGATTTTTCATAAATTTTGATAAAAGTTAAGATTCCACGAAATATGTTATTAAAATTAATTATCAACTTTGATTTAGATTAAAGTTTAAATTCTAATCAATACCAAATAGGCCTTATAAAAAAAATAAAAACAAAAACACTCAAAAGCTGGGAGCGGGGATCACATGACCCTCTTTAGGTCCACCCCTGAGTCTTCCATACAACCTTCAAAGTCTGGCACTGATTAAAATCTATCCACAGTAGATAATATACCTAGTTCCACCCTTGTCAATAGTTAGCTCTCAATCATTCAATCGAAAACCAACGTTGATGAAGGAATGTAGGTTCACTATTCAATAGTGGGATTGTAACTTCCATCAAAATTTTCATTGTTCACTAGATGATGGAACTTTTCTTATTTTTTTGAGGATGGAAGAATCAAATTATATTTTTGTTTCAATTTTTGCCTCCTCTTCTCCATCTAAATCAAACTTTTCCTTACCATAATAGTTCAGGGACTATTAGTATCCAAGATATGAGTGGAATCCTGTTTAGAAATATTAGAAGGTGTCCATCTCACCATCGAAAGAAATAAGATTATAGTGGGTATAACAAACTGAAAAAATTAGCCAAATTTTTCAATGTAAAGGTAACCGTGAAAGTTGCTGAATAAATAACCTACAGAAAGTAGGCTAGTCTAATCAATCTTGCTTGAACAATGTAAAGAGTCACGTGTTTTATCTCTCCATCAAATCAATATGACCAAAGGTGTGCGTTCATGAACCCCGTGTTAAAGTTTCAAGTAATTCTTGTCAATGTCCATGCCTGAAAATAAGAACAAACCCCAATAGACCAAACAAGATGTCCAAATAAGAACATCCATATCCACTTCACTTAACTATTCATACTAAAAGGATTATATCTACTGATAACTTGTGAAGAGTTTAACCATAAATAATCTCTTAGCCAATCCATCAAATTAGTGGAAGGTTCATTAAACCGTACAGTTATCCCTGCCATAATCTAATGTGCTTCTAATGCTAATAAAACTAATCCATCCAAAAGTATTTAACACTCAAAAATTAGAGATTTATTAGTTATAAATAAGTACGTTACTCAACAAAAAATTTACTTACCAGTTAAATTTCTATATAATGTTTAATATTATATAAATATATTTCAAATTTCTAACAATTAAAATAATCTAAACTAATTTAAACGAATAGATCGAAACAATTAAATCATCAATTAATTTGATTAGCTAATTTATTTAATTAAAACTAAATTTCAATTAAATAATAAATTAGAGTCCAACTCTAATTTCAAAATTTTAGGACAAATTGAATTAACATTTTAATTTAGGATAAAACTCCTTAAAAAATAAAATTCAATTTAGGGTTGAAGGTAGTTTAGTTATAATCCGTTTTAACGATAATTTAAAAAGTTGTGAATTTTAGAATAAATTTTAAATTGGTCAAAATTAAAATTTTAAAATTTTAGGTCAAACCTTTTGAAAATCATTTTTAAAACTGCGTCAAAAGCCCTTTTTGAAAAATTGTATTTTGGCCCAATTTTAAAATTACAAATAGACCCTCCAATTCTTAAATTGCAGAACATTCCCTTATTTTAAAATTGTAAATTGCCTTTTGAATCAAAACTGTAAGAAAGAGCCTTTAATTCCATAAATTACATGAGAGTTCCCCATCCCAAATCAACCCCAAAACCCTAAAATTATTTAAGGGTGTCACCGACTTGAGACTACGATGGGATGTCACCGCTCTCACACAATGATGACATCTCGCTGTCCCACAGTAGGGGCACTCTCTAGTCGTTGCTGCCACTTCCGCTACCTTTCGACCTAATTTTTGACTAAAAATTGATTCTTCTTCTCAAAAAGGGATTTAGAACATAAAAATTAGTTTTCTTATAAGCTAAAAACAAGAAATCAACAACAATCAACCACCGATTGTTTCTATGATTCAAAACTTCTAACAAATACAAAGTCGGCTTTAATAACACCGTTGGAAATTTACTTATAGATGCACAATGAAATATAAAATATATTTCAATTCCTTTCAAAGATTGTCTTTTTGTTTAGATGTTAATTGTGATTCGAATTTGCTAGAGATGGTGGTTTTAAGTCATCAACAAAGCAACTTATGTTTTTAGTGAATTTGATGTCGGGTCTTGATCTCCAGGTAGAAAAGCGGTCTCGATTTTATAGCTCCAACATTAGTTCATAAACTCGCCCCTCTCCTAAAGCTATGCTATTAAATGTGGTCAACTAACGATTACAACTTCTTAGAAAAGTGTTCCTCCACTTTCAAGCTCATTAGAGAATCGTGATCACGAAAAATCACAATCTCTTCGTCCTCCTCGTGAATCTTGATTTACAATAATATTTTCACACCACAATTATCCAATTGTCTAGTCAACATAGGAGAACAAAAATGAGAAACAAGGGGTTTCTCTTTCTTGTGCCAACAAGAATATGATATTGTAATGTGTGCTAAGAAAATCTAAAATCCTAGTAGTTTATTAAAAGATGTTTAACTGGACTTGACACGCCATTAAACATAATCGATCTATTAGTTAATTAATTTAATTAATTAAACTTAAGCTCATTAATAAACAATTCAATTAATTAATTTTACAAATGTTCCACACTTGTGAATTAATTAATTTTTAATACAATTCTTCTAGTTCTCGCCTTATGTGTTTTACCCATTAGATTATCGATTACGATGCCGGATATCATGAGTTATTATGTACTTACATTGGTCAAGAATTTTGATATCAATTTAAGCGAATGAAATATAGATCAAAATCTCTTACTATTTAAGAATGATAAATCCCTTCTTAATCATTCAGTTGCTTCATATAATTTTTTATACACTCGAAAGATTCTGTATTAGTGATTCTTGATAGAGCAATATCCAACATCAAAGTATAAATGTTCTCATATAAGAAAACTATGAACTTCAAGTCGAATGACCAATTTCACTACCGAACATTAGAGATTAATCACTGACACTCAAAATTATCCATGTGGAATCTCTGTAGCGAATCTCTAATATTTTGTTTTTCTTAACAAAACATTCAAACATCCATTTAAATATCACTACATTTTAATTTGTGAGATCAGCTACTCACTTCATAAGTAAGAAATATTACACATACTGATAGATCCATAAAAACAATATCATTATCTCGTTATTACTCAAGACTGCTGATAATTTAAGATTCAATCATATAAAATTTGTATATCACAATTACAACTTCTTGTCATTAATAAATTATCAAGATTGGAATCTATAAACTCCATTAATTTAACTTGTTTAAATAATAATAATTGAATTCTAAATAATAAATATACCATAAATAAAAATACAAGCGTTTTTGAGTTAAATATTTCATTGGCCACTGAACTTTACACCATGTCACGACTTACTCACTGAATTTCATGAATTGACCCGTTGGCCACTCAACTTAGCTCCGTCCATCTCCATAACTCACTTGATTCAAACCGTTAATATACAGTGCCTACGTGGACAATGAAAAAATGAGCTGGCTGGTTAAATGCTTCCAACTAGTATTAAAGAGCCAAATCATATTCTACGTTAGCAAAATCGCATCCAAACAATACCTTTTGCCAATTATGTACACGATTTTTACCAATTTATTAGACGAACCAGTAAGAGTGACAATCAATACAACCCAAAAACCCTTAGCTGCAATCAATTACCCTCAATCCAAATCCCTGAATTGAACCCGTAATCGTGAATTCCGTTTTCCCCAAATCAAATCTCTCCCAAATCGAACCATTAAGCATGAAATCTATTTTCCCTAAATTGAAGGGTGTGAACCCGAATCGAATATACTTGGTCGCTGTGAACAAACAAACCGCCATTGTTGAACATTCTTGAAGGCGTGCACATGGATGGTTCACCTGAAGGTATTTTCGAAACAAGTTCTTATGTAGCTTATTAAATCAGTATTGTTTAATTTTTTGATGTGATTCCGAGTTTAAATTTATATTATTATATCTGACTATGAACATTGCACTACTGAGGAACCTTTATTGACTATGAACATTACACTGTAGAGTTATATATTTTTACGGCTTATTTTAGTTTAATTCTAAACAGAGAGATTAAGAAAAAAGATGCATTTTGTTCTGAAGTGTGAATATTGGTGCTAGTTTTTGTGGGTTTTGCATACATGGGGAATGCATGATATGTAATGTATGTGGATTATATATATGTAGATTCCTAGTTTGAGATTGTTTTTGAAATGGGATTGCATGGCAATGGAGATCAAGTAATGGACGAAATGCAAGAGGTGAATGATATCGAGGTAGATGATTGGCTTGAACGCGAGTTGGAACCAGTTGAATCACATTACAACACAAGCCAGGATAAACGAGTAAGTACATTTCAATTTTTTATTTTTTATTTTTTTTTACCTCTCCATGTTGGTTGCAAAGTATGACTAATCGTTGAATATGGTATGTGGAGAAGGGTAAATTGAATGCAAGAAGGGAAAAATCAGCTTCATCACAACAAACTGATATGGAAGCACAATCTTTTCAACCACGATATCTTCAATCTGAGCCAGCAGCAACAATTTGCATTCAAACGGGCAACCATCAACCTCCCATGATGACCATGAACTGCGATGAAAAATATGTTGACGAATGGCAAGACACGACAGAGGCCAAATCAGCCAAATTGAGATCAGCCAGGGCACAGGCACGATGTCAAACGAAATATACAAAATCAAAAAGGCATTGCCACGATAAATAATGTGAAATCAGTTTTGTTGTTTTTTGTGTTTGGGTTTAGGTTACTGGCAAATAACTTACAAACTCTGTGCAATATGAACAACAGTTTGGTGTGCTTTTTTGTGTAATTTAGCAGTTGGGTACAAGAGTTTGGAGCTCCTTTTTTTGTTGAATATGTTGCCTTCGTGATAGTGTTGATGGATGCTTAATAATGATATCAATGAATGGATACAGTTTTTGAATTTGATTTGTACCAGCAAGTTTATTTAATGTTTTTACTTCTTGGTGTAGATATGCACATTGTATAAATAGAAGGTGCACTGAAGTGTAGTGTCTCTATTCTTTGTAACACCTCTAGATGGCATAGTCTTTATGTTTTTGAAATCTCATTTTTGTGTCAATAACACCATTGACATCATAACAATTACTTTAAACATCAATATCAAAACACGATATGATGGTCACATGGATACTCAATAAATATGATATGCTGGTCACTCCAATCTTAAAATACTCTCAAAACATTCCAAATTTTGACGTCATTGTCAATACATTATAACGACACCAATGCTACAACAAACTCTACAGCAACATATAAGGTTACATTTCATTTCATGGAGATCCTCCGTTTCATTTCTCGTTACATTCCATAAGCCTAGAATGGCTAAATAAACAAGTGCTACAACAAACTCCAAAATAACATAAGCAGTTAAACTACTTTTCACAAAGCTACTCCATTCGGTTTCCCGTTATCTTTATCTCTTTTACCCTTGCGGGATGTAAATTTTACCGAGATATCCATATCCTTTTCTTCGGTTATTTTAGCAACATTTATCAACAAACTTGACAACTCTTTAATTTCTAATGTAGAACTTGACCGACCCTCAAATTGCCAAAGATCTTCTTTGTTGAGTTACTTGAAATGACCGTAGTCGTTTGTGCAATAGAAGAATAGACATCCTAAGTTTTTATTCTTCTTTTCGACCTCCATGCATTTCTCAAATTCCATGCCACATATGTAGCATGGTTTCTTCGTCGGGTAATCAGACGGGTAGTGGTTGGTTTCTTGCAACCATGACAAATCCTTTGTTCTTTCCTGTCATTAAATTAAAATGTGTTAGTAGCAACCAAAGGGGAAAAAAAAAATAATAATAAAACCTCCAAACAATCCACAATACACATAAGATTTAATCCATCTATTCTTCAAGGAGAAACTTAAATTCAACATCATCCGGAGAACATGACGTTTAATATTTCAAACAAAATATAAACCACTATACTTCCATTTGTGCAATTTTCAAATTCAATTCAAGAAATCGATAATGTATTATCTGATTTGGGATATTGCATTTTACCCGAAATAATTGTATAATGTTTTGGAACCCAGGGACTTCGCGTGCGAGTCAGGAGAAATCAATTTTAAGATGTTAGGTCTGGGATGTCTTGATCACACTTAGGGTTCTTGGGAGATTTGCGTCGAAATCTGATTTGGGGAAAATCGATTGCAACTCAAGGTTCTTGGGTTGGATTTTTTTTCACCCTTACTGGTTCTTCATTTTGACAAGTATTAGTCTCTGTTTAAATAAATCCCAATTAGGTAGGGTGATTCGTTTTTTGTTTTTGACTCTTTCTTTCTCCATGTTACCATGCCTCTATTAGAGTAAATCATGGGTCGTAATTTCTGCTTTCTGTTAATTCTTGTAAGGCTATTTAATAGCCAACGTTATTATTCAATAAACAAGTCATTCATTCAATTCGTTTTGAGTTCTTGATCTTCTGCTTTCATTTTTCTATCCAGAACAAATTGGTATCAGAGCCCCCACTGGGCCTGAGAGAAAGAAAGCCGCAGCCTTTCGAGTGACTTGCAAACACAAAGGAGAGAGAGAAAGATATGACGAGTGAAGGAAATTTTGTCCAACCTGCAATACCTCGCTTCGATGGGCACTACGACCATTGGAGCATGTTAATGGAGAATTTCCTGAGATCCAAAGAATATTGGAGCTTGGTGGAGATAGGATATACAGAGACAGAAGAAGAAACTATGACAGAGGCACAACAGAAAAAACTCGAGGAGCTGAGATTGAAGGATATGAAGGTGAAGAACTACCTGTTCCAAGCAATCGACAGAACCATTCTAGAGACCATTTTGAAGAAGGACACCTCAAAGCAAATCTGGGACTCCATGAAGAGGAAATACGAGGGAAATGCTAGGGTGAAGCGTTCAATTCTCCAAGCATTGAGGAAGGATTTTGAAACACTTGAAATGAAAGTAGGTGAGAATGTCACTGATTATTTTACACGAGTTATGTCAGTTGCCAATAAAATGAGGACATATGGGGAGCAAATGAAGGATGTGACAATTGTGGAAAAGATCCTTAGATCCTTAACTGACAAATTCAATTACATAGTTTGTTCAATTGAGGAATCTAAGGATATAGATGAACTCTCAATCGATGAATTGCAAAGTTCATTGATAGTGCATGAACAGAAATTCCACAGAAGCAGTGGAGAAGAACAAGCCTTAAAGGTGACTTCTGAAGAAAGGTTTGGAGGAAGAGGGCGTGGTAGAAACACTTTTAGAGGAAGAGGTAGAGGCAGAGGGCGCCAAGTCATTAACAGAGCTACAGTTGAATGCTACAAATGCCATAAGCTTGGCCATTTCCAATATGAATGTCCAACTTGGGATAAAGAGGCCAATTATGCAGAGTTAGAC